ATGCATATATATGCACTAGCTACAAATATGTGTGTGAAAATTTGACGAGTTCTAACATTAAATTTGTACTAGTGCGTAGCCCGTGCGATGCACGGGAAAACAATATTACGATTATATTATAAATTTAATATATAAATAACATCGATCATGATCTACTCATTGTTTCAAATTAAATGGGGTTGGACACGGTCCGATCAAATGGACTTAGAACCGGTATATAATTTGTTTGAATACAATATTTGCTATTGAATCCGTCAACACCAGTCGATTGGACTGGTAGGATCGATATTTTAAATATCACCTAAAAGTAATTCAATCAACCTGGGCAATACCCTAATTCAATCACCCGATTCATCCAAGAAATTTCCTTATTTCCTGTAAATATATTTAATTTTATGAAATAAAAATATTTTATGATTCATATAATAAATGTCTACACTAAATGATAGTATATTAAGATATAAATTATATATCTAAAGATGAATTAATTATTTTTATTATGCATATTAATAAAAAATTAAACATAGTGATTTTCAAAAAATTAGTACTGATTGATTGATTATCAATTTAAAGAATATTTTTAGCGTTCAATATTTGTTTGAAAGACACAAATATAAAGACCGAGATTTTAAAACATCTGTTGTATTTTGAATTGAAATTTTATAAATATAGAGACTGAAATTTTAATGTTGTTCCTTGCTTCTAAAAAAACAAAATAAAATAAAATAACATGCACACTTAAAAGAACTTATCTAGATTTTTCAAATAATAAAAATTAAAACCCGAAATTTAAGGTAACATTTAATGTTGTATGATTTTTAAAGAAAATAACATTAAATTAATGACACTTACTATTTATAAGTTGCATTAAATGTTAACCTATATTTTTGGTACCATTTTTGGTAAATAGGATGACTTTTTATATATATATAGATAGATTGTATTTATATTTTTATAGACATAAGATGTGATTTATTATCAAATGTATGGATTTCTTTCCCAAAATTAAAGCTTCAATTTCACAGGTTTCCTTTGGAAGCCACGGGCACCATAGGAACGTAGGCTATGTGCTATAATGGAAGATTTCACGTGAAGATAATTTTACTTTTTCCCCTTTTTCTTTTTCAATTTAAAGTTGGCAACTTAGGCCTAGACATGGTCACGGTTCGGCCCGTTCCGTGGTCTCGATCCCGACCCGTAGATTGCCAGTTCCGAGAACCAGCACCCAATAACGGATGTAGGTCACAAAGTGAGCGGGGTATATTTTTTAAATATATAATACATAGTAAAAAATAAATAAATACAAAATACACCATGTTTATAGTTATTTTTATGATTTTTTTTTTCTCGCATCGGTTTATAATAACATCGTTGAATTTTTGTATTGTATTTTCTTTCAACCCAAAAATATTACAATCCACCAAAGATATATATATTTGACTGAAACTAATTCATTTTCAAGTATTTTTACATGTACTTTTTTGTCAAGACATTTGTTTAAAAATATTCTCCATAATCTGATAAAAAAATTAAATTATAATTAATGTATAAAATATTTTATGTAATATATCAAACTTTTAAGAGGCCTACGATTAAAGTTATCAATCACACACATATTAAATATTTGATATTAATATTAGAGATCATAAAAAAATATTAATTAACTACAAAAATGTTAAAAAGTACAATTAAGTGTTAAAATTTTTCTTTTAAAACCTAACAAAAAAAAAGAGTTAAATCACTTTCACAAAAATCATCAATTAGAGGTGTTCACGGTCCGGTTTTAGCCCAAACCATGACCACACCGGACCTAATGGTAAATTTTTTTCTTGTCCATAACCAGACCGATTTTATTTTTTAACCGGCCATAATCCGGATCACATTGGATGGTACGGTTTGGCGGTTAATCGGTTAAATTCAAAATTATTGTTTTGGGCCTTCAATTTTTATTTTTTTCATTTTGGGCTTAATTTTACTTTTGAATTTGGGCCCAAAAGAGATTATTTGGGCCTAAAAATTAAGAAAAACAACAATAATGAAATATAAAATACACAATTCGTCCCATAAACATAAAAAAAGCGAAGATGAGAAAAAGTGAAGGTGGGAAAATATGAAAATGAAAAAACGAAGGTGAAAAAAAGAAAAAGTTATAATTTATTACAAAATTAAGTCAACAAAAGGCCAAAAGGTGAAAGTAAATGTATTGTATTTGTCGGCCATAGTGAATGACTGAATGTATATATATTTGTTATAGTTTTTAAATATTTACCGAACCAGTTCGGATAAACCGACGGTTTGCCGCAGGTAATTCGTTAACCGGACCGGTTATTCCGGAGTTTTAAGAAAATTAACCACCGGATTTTTAAAGTTTTTTTAACCGCTCCGCGGTCCGAATTGACGGTTTTTCGGTTAAAACCGGACCATGAATACCTCTATCATCAATAGAGACAAAAATTTATTTTTCCATTATTCTATTTTATTTCCCCACTAGCTCCTTATTTTTCTTCTTAGCAAGGCATTGATTCTTAATTATTATTATTATTTTAATAAATGATGTATTGAGCTATTTATTAAGTCTTAAGGGTACCTAGGTCATGGATTTATCCTTTTTTTTTTTTCCTTAGTGCAGCCCTAGCCCACACTTGTCTATACCTAGATACGCCCCTTTCGGCACCGGTACTTTACAGGTCGTTTATGGGTTTCTTTTTTTTTTTTTGGTCCCGGC